GGCCTAACATGCAAAGGAGTTCCTGCTACAAAAAAAGCCCTGGGTTTTGACAACAAACAAGGTAAACAGAATAAGAAGCGAAAGGTGGGTGTGGCTGGATGACCACACTTCTGGTAACATGGGGGTGTGGCCTCATGTGCTAATGAGCGGTGCTGTCAGGGTGTGGCCTAATATGCTAATGAGTTTTGCTGTTGGGTGTGACCTATTATGCTAATGCGTTCCTGCTGGGCTTTTTCTACAAAAAGAGCCCTGGTTGCAACTAACACAAGGGTTGCAACTGACATATTAACAGTCTGCTGAATACAGAGCAGTGTTCTTTTAGTGTCAGACAAGGTAGCTCTTTTAGGACCTGTGCATTTAATCATGGGTGCTGCGCAGTTGAAAAATGGAATGTCACTTTTTTTGAAAATGTAGACTTTTTTCATTTCATGGAAACAAGGGATCATAAAGCTTTCAAACCTCCTCAAACTTTTATGGTAACTTTTCTCTGGGTAAAATTGCAACAGACATTAGAACTGCAGGATCTAGAAGCATGGTATGAAGAGAATATACTCCATGGGAAAATGGGGAAACATATGCTAGATGTCTGACAGGTGTCTCCTGCATTTCCTACTTTATCTCCATGGAACTATATTCTCCCCTGCCTCTGATCTGAGTTCTGTGTAGGTGAGTGATGAGAATTTGAAAACACTTGCTGCATTTACAATCGTTTCTGGCAAGCAAAATTCCAGCTACCAGATGCTGTATATTCATAAGGGAGAGGACCAATGTTTTGTGGATGTAATTGGGCATACGCTCTGCTTTCCACTGATATGGAATTTTAGGATGGGGCTACATTTTAGGATATGGCCACTGGCTATATTAGTATGCAAGTAATTATTGTATTTAATAATGAAATGGGAACAGCATGATACTCAATATCTTGCTGAACAATGTTTTCTGTTGCTTTCTCTGCAGTAATTTGAAGGGCCTTCTTGATTGAGTTAGGGTATTGCTAGCGAAATGACACATTGGCTGGTGACCACTATATTCTTTGGTATATATAAAGGGGGTTTTTTGCCAGTGAAGTTCCACACTAAGAATTAAGATTGACTACAGAATGATACCAGTTCTCTGGTTAAAAGGGTGTAGAGCAGTGAAATTTTCCTTTGCACCTCTGATAGCACTTGAACTCCAAATTTGAATTCAGGACACAAAGAAATAGGCACCAAATTCTGCGATCCTTCACTGGTCTCACTATGGTGAAGACTGGCAACAGGCCACAAGCAAAAATTTGGGGGGAAAATGATAGATACTGAATCTGAGATTGCAATTATTCATTAATAGGACTCAAAAAGGCTTATCTATGACAAGACTGTGTACATACAGATAATGGGATGGATCCAGAGTAAACTGGTGATTTCTGCCAACTGTCTCTACTTGCCATTTCTTAGGATCCCTTATCCCCCAGGAGCAATATTTCATGGAGATCAGTGGGCTGCAGTGGAGGGGGAGGCAGGAAAGTTCCATTCTGCTCTCAAAAAACAGAGCCTTCCTCCAACCCAAGCAGGGGAGTGTTTCCACTGGGACATCAGGGGCTGCTATGCAGGAGACTGGAGGGCATGAAATTGCACCCCAAGTGGGATCGCTGCATTTAAAATTCAGAAAGATTCCCACCCCCTACACACACATTACACAGTCTGTTGACTCCAGGGTTTTGTTAATTGTTTTTGTTTTATCTGTTCTGGTTTTAATTTCTTATTGTCTGCAATTTAGGTTTTTGGTTGGCTGTTACGGTTTGTCAGGAAAGGCAGCATATAACTATGTTAATTAAAAAGTACTGAGAACAGTTTTTCATTGCAGGAGAATCTAAAGCAAGCCAGAAAACAGCCAGACAATCACTTTTGTGTCTAAGGTAGTAAGTCATACAACACAACACAGTAAATTTTAATGGATTACAATATAACAGCAACAAACAAAAACATGTTCGTATAACCTAAGAATATACATTCATGATTCAATTCTTATTTAGGATTTAAGCCACCTTATTCTGGTAGTTCTCATTGGACTTCCCTTTTCATATATATTTTATTAAGATATTGTCTTGTTTTTAGACAAATCTTTATAATTCAGTACATCTGAATTATGTTTGGTATGTGTTCAGAGTTTCAGAATTCTCTTTTGCATTTGCACAGAGTCTGAAAGGTTAATGTACTGAACTGCTTACAAGATTTGTAACTTTAGAATAACAAAATATGCAGTCCAATATGTTTATTAAGCATTTCAGTTACAGCCATTTGAAAATCTTGGAGTGGAAAGAGGACCATGAATGTTCATAAAGGGGCCTGAATTGTAGCAAGCCATGCCCCACTGACTTTAGGGAATTTATTTCCACTTATGTGTGCTTAGGATCTTGACCTTAGATACTGAATTTCAATATTGCTGCATGAGATATTGTCTGGAAATGATGTCCCTTTCTGAAAGCCTTTGGAAACATGAGTTGGAATCTCCCCTAAGTTATTTTAGAATGTTTCACAAATTGAGCCTCCCCATACATTTTAACGTCTACCGTAGCATCAAATCTCATCTGTTATGACTATAAAGAAGCTATGAAGTGGCTGTCACCCATCCACAGTTTTTCGCTACTGAGTGAGCTGCTGTGATGCCTGATCAAAGTCAATGCCGCTATGAGGTAAAAAGCAGAACATAAGCTGGAGAACTTCCTAGTGCTTCAGTTAGTATTTCAACAGGCTCATTCTTTCAACAGTTCTCTTTATGCTGACTTTATTTCTTTGACCGATTCACCAGAAACAACCGCCAGCTCATATCTGAGGTATGGTGTATCCAACTTTATCTCAGCTTACACGCTTCGAACACAATCTATACGGGGCAAGCACATGAGTGAACAGAGAACCCCCATGAGTGAGATGTTAATTTTAGAGCTATGTAAACAGAAAAGGGTCATGACATGGTGGCAGGCAACGGCAAACCACCTCTGAATGTCTCTTGCCTTGAAAACCCTATGGCAGAGGGGTCGAACTCATTTATCATGAGGGCTGTATCTAACATGTCACTTCATTGGGCTGGGCTATATATGTCACAATATATAATGCCAGGTACAGGAGATATAAGCTTTATAAAGGACACAGGCAAACCCAATTAACAATATTAAATATTACTCAAAATACAAACATGCTTAAAACAGTAACACTCTTACAGTATTTCCTTAGAACAAAGTTTGAGTCCAGTGGCACCTTTAAGACCGACAAAGTTTTATCAAAGATTGAAGCACTGGACTAAAACTGTGTTCTGCTATTTCCTTAAAGTATCTCCCTGATGCCTGCCCTCCCACTTCCACTGCCTGTTACTTATTAGCACTGGGACAGTATCTAGGGACATAATTCACAGGCTCTGTCATCTGGCAATAAAGGTAATGACCAGTTGCTCGAGGTTCTGGACAAGAGCCCTGGCCCACAGGCCGTATGTTTGACACCTCTGCCCTACGGGGTCACCATAAGTCAGCTGTGACTTGACAGCCCTTTCCACCACTGCCATTTGTCTATGAAACTGAACATTCACCCACTGAACGAACATCCAAACATGATTTTTATGATTCTGTTCTATGGGCACAGACACTAATTAGGGTTGCTGGGCCACGCCTGGCAGCCAGCAGGAGCTTTGGAGATGAGGATATGCAGGGAGCACATCATCTGCACCATGACATCACTTTTGAGAAAAGCTGGAAAGGACATTAGCTAGCTCTAGGAATGTTATGGTTTCCCCAGAAGTGACGACATGGCACAGGTGCCACCAATGTTGTTTTTAAAAAATTTCACCAGGGCTCAGGACGCAGAGGCAGGCAATCAAGCCACCTCTCTGAAAAACATCCAGGCCCACAGTAGGGGTCACCAGAAGTCACCATGACCTCCAGACGTGCAAACACATACACACACACAAATACCCCCCCACACAAAAATTCACCTGTTGCTGCTTGGAGTAGCAGTGACCAATGACAGCTGCTGGCAGGAGGCCTGGCAGCCCTAACACTTATATGCTTCTTGAAATGCAGAAATGCAGTTTTTTCATCTGAAGTATTTGGCAGAAGACAATGCCACCTCCAGCAGTCCATTTACGCTTGCTTTACGGGGAGCTTTCAATGATGCAGGTTGGACCACCTATCATTAAGCATTATTCAAAATGTAAATTTAAAAAATGCATTGGTTTTTTTTTTAATAAAAAGCCTACACAGATCATACATGCATGAAATTCCAGGACACACATTTCAACTGGATTCTAATTAAATAATACAAAAGATTCGACAGCAGTGAACAATTATTGTTTAAAAAACAAAAACAAATAAAAAAACAAATGGTTTCTTCTCACAAATGTGTAACAGGGAGCTTGAAATGATGACTGCAAAAGGCAGAATACTGGGCTGGCAGAGGCTTTGCTTTCCCTTCCCCCCAGGAGGTTTCTGTCCATAGTTTTTCCCCCGAGCTATTTGATATTAGTATACACTACCTTGGTTATAAGGCTACAATACTCTTGCCATACATTTGCCATTTTGTAAAAATGTACAGATGGAGGCCCCAGCTTTGGCATATTTGGTTGTCTATGTAAATGTGACATCCTTCCAGTGTCGCTAATGCCTTCAGTAGGGCACAGCTGAAGACCCATTTTAAGCATTCATTTGTTGGCTTGGCAATCTCAGGATCTGGGGGGAAATTCCTGTAGTGGGGGGAAACGCCTGTCATGTGAATCCATAAGCATCAGATACTCAAAAGGAATAAAAGTGCACAACACGGAGAAGAACATCATTTCTGACCATGATGCGGAAGGTTTGTCTGAGTGACCACAGTGCCTGGGGAACACCAACATTCACAGTGATCTTACCATCTCCTAGGAGCTTGCCCCCCCCCCCGATTATGGAATGCTCGCAAACAGTCTGATTCCTGGCATAGGATGGGCCAGTCATATAATATCGCCAAACTATCCAGCTCTTTGAAATTGGAATGGTCAGTTTGATGGACAGCCATGCTTCACACGGAGCCTACAAGAGAGGTTGTATGTGAGATAAAATGTGGTAATTATTGGTGACCAAAACACAGGTTTGACATGCTATTTTAATGACCAGTCATTATTTCTGCCCTGTTTCTCTAGTGCATATGTATTTTGGATCAAAGTGCGCCAAGAACATCCATGTGAAAGGTGCCATCTTTCTTCACACAGACATTGTAGAAGCTTTGAGACACTGCAAATGCCTTGCCCAAGTCAGTTCTCTCAGGGAACTAAACCTGGTCCAAATGGCTCATGCTAAGGCACTCCAAGTTAAGTAATTGGTTATCATTTCTTTTATAATTGAAAAGTATGAAATCCCACCCAATGTGCTTCTATTTGGCTCTAAAAAGCCACACAAGAATCCTTGGTTTGCGCAGTTATCAGGCTTCACTTGCAAAAATTTCCATTCTGAAATGAGGATTCAATTTTTTCATGTGTACATGAAGAAAGTTGAGTCTGTGGGAACTCATTTTTTGGCTTTGGAGTGTTGCTACTACTGGATTTACTTCGACTCTGATCTGGCGTGGGCTGGATAGGCAAAGATGAGACATTGGCCCTCACCAGACAGCCACAAACGAGGCGGAAGAAAGCCCGACGCATTTCCTTACTTGCCAGAGTGTAGATGATGGGATTCATTGCTGAATTGAGGACCGCCAAGGCAATGAAACCATCTTCTTTGTATAAAATGGGCCACTTTGTTTTGAATGCCACATCAATCAGCAGCAGAATAAACAATGGCAACCAACAGGCAATGAAAACTCCCACAACAATCACTACTGTCCTAAGCAATGCCATGGACCTCTCTGAGTTGCTGTGATTAGTGACATTACGGCTACTGGACTTTACCAAGATGTAAATGCGTGCATAAAGGATGACGATAGCCACTAGAATGGCAATGAAGATGATGATGCAAAATGCTACATACTTCTTAGAATAGAGTGGCAATACAGTGGAACAGTCCGGTAAATTGCCAAGACAGTTCCAACCAAGAATTGGTAAGGCACCCAAGGAGACCGAGATAAACCAGCATGTTCCAATAAGCAAGAAGACCCTGTACTTTTTATTAGCATCATATGGCCTCATTTTGATCATAGTCAAATGTCTTTCAATAGCGATGGCTAACAAGCTGAAAGTGGACGCTCCTAGAGCCACGAACATGCTACCTTCCCGGACAAGCCACATCTTCGGTGTAAGAAACACAGTGTTGCTCCCTGATGTCAAGATGTTCACTTTGTAAACAATCCCAGCCAGCAGGTCACAGAGGGCTAGATTGCCAATAAAGAAGTACATGCGGTTGTGAAACTTGTTGTTTTTCCATATGGCAATCAGCACCATCAGGTTCTCCAGGATGATGAAGCTACAGATGATTAGAAGTGCAATAGTGGTCAGGTCTATGCCCTTTGCCTTATTTATTCGGTCGCTCTTTCCAACATAGTCGTAATGATGTTTTATCTCATTGCCCAACACTGTGTTTTGTTGATGCAAAGAAGGATGAGTGCTCGGTGTGGTGAACACAGCCATGGTTTAGACTGATAAATTTTAAAAGCTATCTCCACTTTTTTCCGCTAGGGGGAGCCCACATCACACTCTGTAGAACATTCCTTTTGCAATGTAGTGGGCTTCTTCTCTTACTGGTTGCATGTCAGCATTCCTGTGCACCGCAAACAGGACCTTTAAAACAGCAACAAAAGACAATATAACTCAATATGATACAATTGCCATCCACCACACTTCATATATTTAAAACATCATATTCATGTTTTCTGTGACAAAATATAAGAACATAAGAAAATAAGAGAAGCCAATGTTGGATCAGGCCAGTGCCCCATCCAGTCCAACACTCTGTCACACAGTGGCCAAAAATACCAGGTGCCATCAGGAGGTCCAGCAGTGGGGCCACGACACTAGAAGCCCTCCCACTGTTCCCCCCCCCCACCCCCAAGCACCAAGAATATAGAGCATCACTTGCCCCAGACTGAGAGTTCCCATCTATACCTTGTGGCTAATAGCCACTGATGGACCTCTGCTCCATATGTTTATCTAATTTCCTCTTGAAGCCGTCCATGCTTGTAGCCATCACCACCTCCTGTGGCAGTGAATTCCATGTGTTAATCACTCTTTGTCTGAAGAAGTACTTCCTTTTATCCGTTCTAACCTGACTGCTCAGCAATTTCATTGAGTGGCCACAAGTTCTTGTATTGTGAGAAAGGGAGAAAACATACTTCTTTCTCTGCTTGCTCTATCCCATGCATAAGTTTGTAAACCTCTATCATGGCACCCTTCAAGCATTGTTTCTTCAAGCTAAAGAGCTCCAAGCGCTTTAACCTTTCTTCATAGGGAAAATGTTCCAACCCTTTTACCATTATAGTTGCCCTTTTCTGCACTTTTTCCAATGCTATCCTCTCTGAGGCGTTGTGACCAGAATTTATTTATTTATTTTTTTAAATTTATAACCCGCCCTCCCCACAAACGGGCTTTGGGTGGCATACAGATGGGGCCAATGCCCAATACATAAAACATTAAAACTGCATTTAAAAACATTCAATACAACTTAAGTGCTCGCCATAATATCTAACAAGGGAACAGATGACGTCATCAGAATAGTATCCTTAGTGGCCACAGCTCCATGCAGTACCACCATTCTAGCGCTCACGGCGAGTTAGTAATAATGGGCTAGGACAGATAGTAATAGTCGTAGACAGATGGTCGTAGACAGAATTGCACACAGTATTCCAAATGAGGCTGCACCATCGATTTATACAGGGATGATACTGGCTGATTTCTTTTCAGTTTCCTTCCTAATAATCCCCACCATAGCGTTGGCCTTATTGCAGTCACACACTGTTTTGACATTTTCAGTGAGTTATCTACTACGACTCCAAGATCCCTCTCAGAGAAATATGTGGGGAACATCCAAAATGCTCAGCTAATCATATCTGTAGGATGTATCTAGGCATTATAGGAGATAATCCAGCCAGCTTTTTCACTCAGTCTTGCCCAGTTCTCCTCCTTACTACAGCCCACATGTCTTTTGTCAATGTAGGTCCCATAATCTCCCCCCATAACCATTTCAGGTAGTCAGAGGGGTCCCTTCCCTTTTTCACCCAATCTCACCTAATCCCCCTCCTCACTACGACCCCTGTTCCATCCGACTTTTGTCAGTAGAGGTCCCTTGACCCCTAGCAGAGTCTTCTGGGCAATCAATGGAGACCCCTCCTTCACTTTTCACTAGAGGAGAGACTAGTGGGATCCTAGCTATGGGATTTTTGCCATAGCTATCAGTTCTCCCTAAATTTGCAGCTATAGGTCCTAATATCATTGTGTTCCATAGCCCCTGTCCCCAAAAAGCAAGCCAATCATGGCAGGGAAAGACACAACAGGATGGTTCGAACGTTACAGAGGGAGAATGACACAGGGATGTAGTTTCTGACAGCAGCCCTTCAGCTTTCATAATCTTTCACTCCATCTTTAGAGCAACAACGTTTGGGATGTGCCACATAAAATATAGCAATACACTAACATTCACGATCTATTTTAAAGCCATTTTAAAATGGAAGGCAAAGGGCAAAAGGTATCCTTAATGGCACTGGATGTAAGCTTGCACTACGTGATAAGACAAATGGAGCATAATTTAGCCAGAACTGAGCATTTTCAAGTGCTTCACATTTCAAAGGGAGATAAGCATGTCTTAAAAACACTTAACATTCAGTTTCAGAGCTTAACTTTGAGTTTAAAAATAGTGTTAAAGGTGTGTTAAATCTGATGCTCTTCAGATGGATTTTGCCCATTAGTGAATTAAGCTAACTAGAAAATGTAGTTTAGGTAATGGAATGAACACTTTTCAAGGGCAGCCCCATCTGAAGCCTTAGCCCATTCTAAACATTACCAGGCAAGATCACAGAGGCAAGATTCTTTCTGTCCCAAAAAGGCTGAACATGGTAAAAACCACTCTCGGCCTTGGCGGCCACCTGTTCATCCAACAGGAAGTTCCAGCCCAGCAGAACCTCCAGGCTATGAACCTGCTCCTCTAGGGAGAGTGAAACCCCATCCAGAAGAGAAGATACTTCAGTTCCTGGGTCAGTTCTTCTGCCCATCAATAACACCTTTGTCTTGATGGGATTAAATTTCAGTTTATTAGCCCTCATCCATCCCAAAACTGCCTGCAGACACAGGTTCATGGTTTCTAGAGGCGTCTGGAGATCCACTGGAAGAGTGAGATAAGAATGAGTCTCATCCACAAATAGGTGACAGCCTAATCAAAATCTTTGGTTGAACTCTCATAACAACTTCATGTAAATGTTTCAAAGCGCTGGGGATAAGATGTAACCCTGTGGGGTCCCACAAGCCAGAGGCCAAGGGGCTAAGCAGCAGTCTCCAGCACCGTCTTCTGAAACATGCCTTCCAGGTCAGATCAAAACCGCCATATAAATGGTGCCTCTCAGTCCTAACCCTGAAAGGTGGTCCAGATATATACCTTGATTAATTGTATTGACAGCTGCTGAGACTCTTTACCTGGTGACCATTTTCTGCATGTCATCAGCCATCAAGCAGTTAGTATTTCTGACATGGAGACTGACTGATTATTACGTCTATGACGACTAACAAGAATGCTGACTCTCTTCACTTTCTGATTTGAAAACTTTACATACAGGACAGTAGTGGGAGTAAGAGATTGAGCACAACCTGCGGATCCTTTTAAGGAAATTTAGTATTGTCTAGAGATGACTCTCAACAGCCCAATGCACCAGTAATTTTACCTGAGTATTAAAAAAATTAATCAATCATTGTCAACCATGCCCACCTTATCCTTATGCCCCTTTGCTCCTTCTGTAAAAATAGAATCAGACACTGTTGAGCTTCAGAGGACTTTCTTCCCTCCAGCAAGGGAAAGAATCACAAGGCATGTTTTGACGTCTCTAAACATGAACTTGTCTATATGGGAGAGGTTGAACACCATGAGAACTTGGTATCTCCAGAGAGTGGGAAAATCCTGGGAGCTTCAGTAACAACCTTTCCAGTATCTTTTCGCTCCTGAGGGATGCAGTCTCATGAGGGATGTGCAAATAGTTTAAACAAGCAATCTGTATTCAGATTCATATGCAACTTGACATATTTAGATTGAGGTTGCCAGCCACTTAACGAATTTTCAGTTGGCTTGCCAGCTGCCTTTAACTAATGAGTTAAACAACTGCAGTGGCATATGTGGCATAATCGGTCTCACAAGCTCCATTTCTAAAGATGTGTGAGAGAAAAGGCTACTCAGCCTTCCATGATCCCTATCCAGCCTGGCTCCCTCTATCTCTACTCCCCATTTTTGTTCTCTCTGGGTTTCTGCCACCTTCTAACCTTCAAAGAGAATCTCCTGCTGAAGGCCTTGTGCTTTAGCACTCTTTATGGCACTGCCATTAAAAGGCTCTGCTCTGTGACGGCATGGCCACTTTAGCTCTATCACTGTAGTGCTTCAGGGATTAATGAATGCACAATCACACCGGGTTTCTCATAGGGAATCATGTCCAAATCAGGTGTGCAATGATCACAGAAATCAACTAGCAAGCATCCAAAGTAATAAAGGGTTTAATGAGATCATATAAATGAACACATTCCTATTTAAACAGCACATCTAAGCAAGAGCAAATGAAAAATGATATAACCACAATCCTCTGACACTTTTTAAAAAACTTATCTTGAAGATGTTAAAGTAAGGCCAGGTTCCTTCCGTTGGAGTTACAAGCATTAAGTGATTCATACCTCCGTTTCGTGGATGGGGCCTTCCCTTCAGGAGGGGGAGGAGGGGCATTGCCTATTTCTCCATGAAGTCTTTGTCAGTAGTAATTGCATCAGGCATGTTTTGCTCCTAATGCTGTCCACAAGAGCAGCACTTATCTTTTCCATAGGGATGGATGAGAACCATTCACTCATATTTTATTAATTTATTTAGACATTTGTACCCTCTTCCCCCCTCAATGGGGACCCAAAGCAGCTTACAACATAATTCTCCCCCTCACAACAACCATGTGAACTGGTTAGGCTGAGAGGAAGGGTGACAGGCCCAAGGTCATCCAATAAGCTTCTATGGCAGGGAAAAGATTTGAATCTGGGTCTCTCAGATCCTAGTCCAACATTCTAACCACTACACTACACTGGCAAGGCAGGACTTAGAATCATCACTGGGGTGACAGCTAAACTTGCCCCTACTGCGATCCCAGCCTGCCCCATCAGCATTGTCCCATTTTGTATTTTGTTTCTTGGTTGTACTATTAAGATGTCCTTTAAACCTTTTTGGAACAATGGGGAGAGGTTGGCTTCATCCCATAGTGCTCCTGTACTGTTTCAGAACCAGTTGTGTGAGTCTTTTCCACAGTCTATATTCACCTTCTGGGTGCTGATTCTGTGAGGAAAATGCACACAATTGACCTCAGCCTCATGGTTGTGAGCCTTTATGCTTACCTTAGTTCTGTGAGTAGAACCTGTTTGTAGAGCAGCTCCTGTGGCACAAATGTTAAGTGCATCTCTATCTTGAG